TTCTGATTGCGGATATTCACGAAATATTAGAACCAGGATGGTAATCAGGATAAACATATATATATTTATTTTTTATTTTTATTTTTTTTGGTTTAACATTCAAGGGTATTCGGGTCAGTTTATGCGCACTTCAACTAATCTCCTCTTCTGTCTGGTTAAAGACAGGTCATCTACGCCAAAATTAGGGTATTCATGAGAAATAAATCTCTCATAACTTGGCTTTAAGGGATTGCCAAGATTTGAAATTTTGAACTCATGATGTTTGAGTTTATAGTTTATTATTGTTACCACTTAAACTACCTTGGATCAGGACAAATATTCTTGAAAATAAACAATAATGGCCAATGAAACGGAGATTATGGGCAGAACAATTCAGATAAATTATGTGATTTCTAATGATTGTGTGGATTTTGGAGGATCCTTTATTTGGTATTATGTGAATAAGATAAAGTTAAGACAATCTTGCAGCAAAAAATTTAGGATATTTATCCTTTTCACCCTCAGATTTTGCACATATTTTTACTTTGGTTGGAGGAGTTTGTTATTATATATATGTTTTTTACACTTTCCCTACATTTTTTGATAGCCGTCCATGAAATCCAACCTATGCATGTCTTTAAGGACACTTAACAAAAATGCCACATGTTATCACGACAGACTAATACATTAGATCATCGTAATATACAAGTGTTTTTGTGAAAAGTTTGATACTGATTTTTGCGTGAATTGAATTAATGCTATGTCGGAAGTTAGAGAATAAACTTGAGAAGGAAAAAAAAAATTATTTCAGGGGCAAAATTGCAAATTAGTTGAACTTTGAAGAATGTGTAATTACTTGTAATTTTATGGAGTGAAACAATGTGATAATGAGATATTAATAAACATCAACCACTTGGTTTTTTGTCCAATAATCATCCACAGCGCTCCTAAATAGGAGATTTCACGATCAAATCTCAGGTGTAAGTTTAGAAGTCTTTTTTGGGTACTCATTTTTTTGTTGTTCTCTTATGTAATTTTTCTTTTGTTTCTTTCTAGGCATTTTTTCCCTACATACGACGAGGATAAAATTAATACATCAAATCCACTAAAATGAAGATATAAAATAATATTAATTCACTTTAAGAAATTTCTTGGTGGCTCTAGCAACAATGACCCCCCCCTACCCCCAACCACTTGCTTGCCTTTAGTTTTTCTTTATGTTTAATGAGTCGGGCCAGGTCCTCGAATCTTTGTCTGGTCAACGGATTGTGTTGGGCTGAACGACAAGACTTGCAATCTTGCCAGTTTTTATTTTAATTTATTAATCAGGTTAGTCTTTAAATAAGTTATGAATTGAGTTTTTGTTGTTTTATTAATTGAAGTGGAATACTTTTTTTTTTTAATAATCTTGGCGGGTCATTTGAATAGATTAACCTGTTGGGTAAGGGACGAACAAAAAGGTGGCCCATCAGCCCATCCACTAGGCAAATGGGCCTCCACTGAAAATAAAATTAGAAGTAATTCGCAACTATCTTATTCTTTTAATGCCGGATGAATTATGTAAAACTAGTTGATGAAGGAAAATTTTCTTGGAAGAAATTTAGTTCTATTACTTGAAAAAAAACTTCACAAATCACAAGGATCGAGTTTGTATGTCTAAGTTAAATTCATACCGATAAATTTTAGTATAAACTGATAATTGAGTTCTTTGAAATGATTAAGGTTAATTTTCGAGTTGCGAAAACATCAAAATTGACAAAAGTATGGTACTAGGTTAGACACGTTTTTCATGGGGGAGTTCCACGGTCCCTTGTTGTGCGTTTTCTAAATTTGTGGGGTCTTATATATTCCATTGAGAAGGACATTAACCAACCACATTTGTGATAACAAATGACCAGCTAAGACAATGTGGTAGTTTTGGATACTTGTACTCCAAAACTTAAGCATGGGCAATATGCAGTTTATTTCGGGTTTAAATTCGGATTAATTTTTAGTTTGTTTCGGGTTTTAATTTGGATCCAAGTGTTTTATTACTAGAGTTGGGTCCGACCTGAGCTCTCAACCCGCATAGCTTGTCCGAGTCCGAGTTGTACCCCAGTTCAAACTGTGTATGGTGAATGAGAGCCGTGAACCAAGTGGCATCTGTGATAACAATTGAATGGATGGAANGGACGAACAAAAAGGTGGCCCATCAGCCCATCCACTAGGCAAATGGGCCTCCACTGAAAATAAAATTAGAAGTAATTCGCAACTATCTTATTCTTTTAATGCCGGATGAATTATGTAAAACTAGTTGATGAAGGAAAATTTTCTTGGAAGAAATTTAGTTCTATTACTTGAAAAAAAACTTCACAAATCACAAGGATCGAGTTTGTATGTCTAAGTTAAATTCATACCGATAAATTTTAGTATAAACTGATAATTGAGTTCTTTGAAATGATTAAGGTTAATTTTCGAGTTGCGAAAACATCAAAATTGACAAAAGTATGGTACTAGGTTAGACACGTTTTTCATGGGGGAGTTCCACGGTCCCTTGTTGTGCGTTTTCTAAATTTGTGGGGTCTTATATATTCCATTGAGAAGGACATTAACCAACCACATTTGTGATAACAAATGACCAGCTAAGACAATGTGGTAGTTTTGGATACTTGTACTCCAAAACTTAAGCATGGGCAATATGCAGTTTATTTCGGGTTTAAATTCGGATTAATTTTTAGTTTGTTTCGGGTTTTAATTTGGATCCAGGTGTTTTATTACTAGAGTTGGGTCCGACCTGAGCTCTTAACCCGCATAGCTTGTCCGAGTCCGAGTTGTACCCCAGTTCAAACTGTGTATGGTGAATGAGAGCCGTGAACCAAGTGGCATCTGTGATAACAATTGAATGGATGGAAATCAACACCTCACCAGCTAAGAAAATGTGTTGGTCTTTGGCACTTCTTCCTTCAGTTGATTTGATAGTGATAAATTTGCTCTTCTCTTTTTGACTTTTCCATGCATGCATGATGCATTGAATGGTGTATGTATCCTGGTTTGTTTGTGTTTTTTTTATTTTGACAATTCTTGTTTGGACACCAAATTTCACACTACCTGGTAAATCAAAAAAGACTACTAACAAATGGGTGCAAAACTATCAAACCATTCAACTATAAGCATCACCCTTTACATGTTGTAAGTCTAGGGGTGGCCCAACCAACAGGGATAATTGGGGTGATATTTGTGATTTTGAGTCTGAATTTGTCGAATTTAGTCTTTTAAATGAATTTAAAAAATTATTTAAATTCAGCTTTTTTAGAACTTGAGCTGAGTTCAGCCCAAACCCTAGCCAAGCTGAGCTCAAATAACTTAACTATTTTACATATAAATGAGTTCAATTTTATGAATTTGAACTAAATCTTTAAGACTTTTTTTTTTAAACGAGTCTAAAAAATTGTTCAAACTCAGCTTGTTAGAATGTGAGTCGAGCTCGAGTTAAGTTTTATCCAAATTGAGCCTAAACCGAGCCTGGATTACTCGTCTTGATTAACACCACTAACCTTTGGCAAAAATATTCAGTTAGGCTAGTGCTATGAAATAAAATAATATAGATATGACAAAATGAATATTAAAGTAATAATATATATTTATTTAAAAATTATTATTTTTTGTATTTGAGAGGTAAAACTATTAGTTTTGCATTAAAGCTTTAGTTATAAAAAATGCATTAATTTAACTTGAATTTGGAGACTAAATTATAATTAAATCTCCTATCAATTAAAAATACAGAGAAAGAGAATTGAAATTTATTAATACAATTAAATTATTTTTTGAAAAAGGAATGTCNTGGTAAAACTATTAGTTTTGCATTAAAGCTTTAGTTATAAAAAATGCATTAATTTAACTTGAATTTGGAAACTAAATTATAATTAAATCTCCTATCAATTAAAAATACAGAAGAAAGAGAATTGAAATTTATTAATACAATTAAATTATTTTTTGAAAAAGGAATGTCAATAAGAATTTTAAATAATAAACTACTGAAACTCTATATATTTTTCTGACATATTATTTGTGTTTCTTATGCATTTTAAAAAATAATAGAGTTAAAAACAAATCTAGATAAAAAAAAAAAAAAAGTCTCGAATTCAAGTTAATAAACAATTATAATTTACGAAAATTATGTGATAAATAATTAATCAACCAATTGACTTTGATTGTAATGAATTAAAAGTATTACGTGAAGAGATAACTTATTTTTTAATATTTACATAAACATAAGTAAGGCCGGAAGTAATATAAAAATAATCATTCGATCTTATCATGTCAAAATTTGCTTAATATAAGTCGATCTAATTTATAATCATGTATAGTTTAACAAATTTATATCACATTTCGTTGGGATCACGTCGACCAAATTTGAGAGAGCAAATAATTTCATCATTTTAATGTCTAAATCTATTAAAGTTAGACTCAAACTAATTAATGTAGTGTCAATTTTTTTTATTATTCTTAAATTGTATCTAAAATTGCAAGGCTAGTTAAAANAATCTAATTTATATCACATTTCGTTGGGATCACATCGACCAAATTTGAGAGAGCAAATAATTTCATCATTTTAATGTCTAAATCTATTAAAGTTAGACTCAAACTAATTAATGTCGTGTCAATTTTTTTTATTATTCTTAAATTGTATCTAAAATTGCAAGGCTAGTTAAAATCGAAGGCCCTAAAATTATCTTAATTGCATCTTGAAAAAAATTTGAAAACCCCAAATATTATTATTTATTTGGAGACCCCATGTGGCGGCTAACCGGCGAAGACATAGGGCCTGCCCTGTGTAAATCGCATGAAAAGGGTAACAAGAGAACAAAGTAGAAAAGGGAATTATCTTGCTCATGTCACCATNTGAAAAAAATTTGAAAACCCCAAATATTATTATTTATTAGGAGACCCTATGTGGCGGCTAACCGGCGAAGACATAGGGCCTGCCCTGTGTAAATCGCATGAAAAGGGTAACAAGAGAACAAAGTAGAAAAGGGCAATATCTTGCTCATGTCACCATGTATATCTAACATATGCCACTATGTATGAACAAGCTCTCTGCAATGGCACCCAGAGTTCTTTTTTTCCTGTCTCTCTCTATTATTCTCTACTTCTCTAATGGACAAACCTGGATCAAATCCGGCTACTGGTATTCCGGTAGTGAATTCCCTGTTCCTGACATAAATTCTGCTCTCTTCACTCACCTAATGTGTGCTTTTGCTGAAATAAACTCTTCTACATATGAGGTCTCCATCTCCCCATCTGATCAACCATACTTCTCCACCTTCACCAGCATTGTCAAGAAGAAAAACCTGTCGATTAAAACGCTTCTATCAATATGGGGTGCAAAAGCAAACTCTTCAATCTTGTCTTCAATGGCCAGTCAACCATCTTACAGAACATCTTCCATCAAGTCTTCGATAAAAAACAGCTCAGCTTTATGGGTTTCATGGCCTCGACCTTTGGTGGATTTTGCCAAAGTCCGGCACAGACATGACCAATATGGACATCCTCCTTGACGAGTGGTGATCTGCTGTGAATTCTCTGCAAAGAAAATCAGGAGAGTCAGAATTGAGCTTGACCGTGGCTGTTCATTATACACCAACTCTGGAATCCATCAGTTACCTCATTGACTCAATCAGGAGGAACTTAGATTGGGCACATGTTATATCATTCGACTATTATTTACCTTCAAGGGATAATTTTACAGGTGCCCATTCTGCTTTGTATGATCCATCAAGCAACATAAGTACTGATTTTGGTGTAAAGGAATGGATCAGCAAAGGATTACCAGCTGGCCAGTTAGTTTTGGGATTGCCATACCATGGCTATGCACGGACACTTTTAGACCCCAAAAATAATGCCATCGGAGCACCGGCATTAGGCCTGGCCATTACACCAGATGGATCTATGAGTTATAAGTACATCAAGTGGTACATTAGAAGTTATGGAGCTGTTCCAGTGTACAATGCTACCTACGTGGTGAATTACTTCAACATTGGATCATTCTGGATTTGTTTCGATAATGTTGAGGCCATCAGAACTAAAATTGCTTATGCAAAGGAGAATAAAAAAACTTGGCTACAATGTCTTTCAAGTCCCCAATGATGATAACTGGGTGCTTTCTAAGGCNGCTACTTGGCTACAATGTCTTTCAAGTCCCCAATGATGATAACTGGGTGCTTTCTAAGGCAGGTGGGTTTACTTAATACAATCTATATCTTTCTTTCAGAAGGTTAATACAATCTATATCTGATAAGGAAGTAGAACCTCAGGTAATGAGACATGCCAATGTAGAGTCCCAATGTTTCTGTCAAGCTAGACTTTTGGATACCATGGCTGCTAAATTTAACTAGCATCTAAGAAAATTCAGGAAAATGGATGACATATACTCCATGAAGGGTTTAAGGAAAATCCAAATGAAACTTCTCTTACCCTGGATTTTGCTTAAGGTACCCTGTAAAAGGATATGACATATATATTGCAAATATGTATGAACCAACTTGTGCATATACATTCTTCTTTCAGACAAATAAAATTCTTTGCTCAAAATAAGACAAACTGAGGAACAAAAAGGACATTCTGTTATTAAGGTTGTTGTGACACATTACCCTCTGATTAGTTAAATGTGATGTGCTACGGCTCAAGAAGATTCGAACAATCAGCATAACAAGAGACGATTACTTTTAACTATTCTACTGACCATTGCTTCAGCTATTCTCCTACTCAGCTTAACGATGTATTACTTCCGGAGGAGACTACTCAAATCAAAAGGTAACCTTTCCAACTGTAGATTTCATCAATCATCAAAGATAGCCATGGAATGAAAGAAATTAACATCTACACCAACGAAACAAAAAGACAAGCATTTTCTTTCCTTTTTGTGTTCACAGTGATAATCCAATCAGGGGAAAAGTCACCAAATACATCAGAAAACAAGTCAACTGCTGAAAGCTCAATCAGTAACTCTCCTACCATGCAAGTTTTCAAATTTTCGGACATCAAAGCAGCTACAAAGAACTTTTCAATTGAAAATAAGCTTGGAGAGGGTGGTTTTGGACCTGTTTACAAGGTAATAATTTTGGAAGATTGTCAATGTTTCTAGTTGCCTGTTATATATAAACTTTGGAATATATGCTATCTTTGAAGCCGAAAGCATTTGAAATAAGATTGTACTAAATCTTAATAGTTCATTTTATTGGAAATAGCAGAAAATAAAATACCAAGAGATCATATGTTCTACCAACCCATTTATAATCCCCCAAGTCATTCTAGAACACTCCTTTATGCAGTGGAACAATTCTTTGAAGAACTTTCTTTATATACTATTTCACAACTCTTTAGTCATATGGGAAATCATCTCAACTCAACTCAATTCAACGTCTTTATCCCAACTATTTGGCGTCGGTTACATGAATACCATTTCTTCAATGTACTCTATCAAGGGTCATCTATTCCGTCGAACCGTATAATACCTTTTTTTACCATCTCATTCAAAGGTAATTTCTGTCTACCTCTATCTCTAGTATTACTATATATATGAATAAATTAACCTTTCGTCACTAGTGCAGTACTAGATATTCTATAAACAGGTGTAAAACACCAATGTTGATTCTTTCCCTATTTCTCTCTTATTGATGTTAATTCTACGGCTTCACGAATATATGTTTTCCAAATCCTATTATTTGGCAATTTTACCACAAATTCAGCTTAACACACTCATTTTTACCACACCTAGTGTTTGCGCAATCTATTTTTAACAGTCCAACATTTTGTACCAAAAACATTGTTTGTCCAATAGATGTCTTGTAAAACATAATTTCCTCAAATTACCTCTTCTAATAAACCAATCAATGAATAACGGTGGAGAGAATAGAATTTGCCTCTTTCCTCAACCTCCACTCTAGACATGGAAGATGATAGAATTCCACTCTAGATATGTTTAATTTCTTCAAGGACCTATATGTGTATGTAAGTATGTATGCATAGCTTACAACTAGCGCAATACTTACAGGAATAATAAGCTTCGCTTAGTAATATTTTGTTGGATCTATGAAAGGCATTGTNTCACTCTAGATATGTTTAATTTCTTCAAGGACCTATATGTGTATGCATAGCTTACAACTAGCGCAATACTATACAGGAATAATAAGCTTCGCTTAGTAATATTTTGTTGGATCTATGAAAGGCATTGTTCAAGTTAGTAATGAGTTTCCCTAATGTTTAGCATAGCATTACTAATCATCTTTGTCGTTTGACCAGGGTAAATTACCGAATGGACTGGAAATTGCGGTGAAGAGACTTTCAAAAAGTTCTCAACAAGGACTTGAAGAGTTCACAAATGAGGTTACACTTACCGCAAAACTGCAACACATAAATCTGCTGAGAGTTCTGGGATATTGCACCAGAAACAAAGAAAAGGTGCTGGTCTATGAGTACATGCCAAACAAAAGTTTAGATTTCTACCTTTATGGTATGCAATCCTTTATGATTCTAGTTACACTTGACAAGCATGAGTGAATTTAATTCAGCTCGTGGTTCTGTAGTCCCAAATGTGACTGAAGGGGTTACGATCACTATATTATTATGTGATATGAATCCCCACAACATTTGACTTTCACTACAGTAATCCTTCTTGCTATGAAGTATCCTGAAAGTGATTATTCTTAGGCAATAGTTAAAAACTCAATGGCATAATCATAGAAAGAAGCTATAATTACAGAGCTTATGAGCCCCACTTTTTTGGGGCAATGATAGCAAAGCTTTCTTGATGTAATCAAATTCACTAAGGAGTGAAACTAAGGAGATTAGTGCCCAAAAAGAATATCATACAGGCATATTTGATGTGATCCCTACTCTGCCCCTCTTTTCTTAAAGGAGGCATCACCCCCAGGAAATAATTCCTCCTTGTGCGACTAATCCTCAATATTGGGGCTAATAATGTTAGTAATTATAGTTACTTCCAATGATTATGCCCTTGATATTTTAACTTTTACTTTGGAATAAGAATAATTACTTTCTGCATTGTGAAAAGGACCAAATATTGTAGCAAGAGGTTGTCGAGTGGCTATGGAGGGGGCCACTGATTTAGCTGTTAAAATTCAGTCTAACAACCTTAAGGTTATGGATTCAAACCTGAAGGTTATGGCAGTCACATTGTGCAAATAATGCAAAAGGCTAGGTTTGCACCCAGTCTACCCTCCCAGACCCTCACTAATGAGGACTAAACTTGGCATTATTTATTTTTATCATTGACCAATGGGCTTTTGGTCCAATAGTACTCCTTATCTTGTAAAGACTTTACTTTCTTGAGGGCAAGAGTTCAAGTCTCCTTCCCCTTCCCCTTCCCCCTCCAAAAAAAAAAATAAATTATTTTTATCATTGCAATAAAAACTTAACTACAATTTTGTTACTCCTTACAATTTATTCATGGAGAAAGATAACAGTGTTCCTACCATAAATGTAGCGATCTAAATGGCATACATTAGAAGAACTTCATCCGATTCCAATGCAGATCCAACAAGAAGAATGCTTTTAGATTGGAAAACACCAGTTCAAATCATTGAAGGGGTCACTCAAGGGCTTCTCTATCTCCAAGAATATTCAAAATTTACAATAATTCACAGAGATTTGAAGGCTAGCAACATTTTACTAGACAAAGAGATGAAACCAAAGATATCAGATTTTGGCATGGCAAGAATTTTCCAAAAAGATGAATATGAAGCAAACACAAACAGGATTGTTGGAACCTAGTAAGTAAACTTCCTCTCAGAGCTTTCTCACATGCACAATTTTTAAATTCCCAATTCCTTAGCGTTTTCTAATTTGTCGGGCAGCGGTTATGTTCCTCCGGAATATGTTAGACGAGGAATATACTCCACAAAATATGACATCTATAGCTTTGGAGTTCTACTTCTTCAAATCATAAGTGGCAAGAGAAATACCTGCCTTTACGGTCTTTATGAGAACTTAAATCTTCTTGAATATGTAAGTTAGTTTGATTTTGCTTTCAGTCATCATTTTTCCTGTTTGGACTTTCAAAGACAGACCATGATGAAGTATTTCAGGCATATGAGCTATGGAAAGATGGTAAAGGCAAGGAGTTTCTAGATCCAACACTGGATGATACATCTTCCTCTTGCAAACTCATGAGATGCATGCAAATTGCTCTATTGTGCATCCAAGAAAAAGGTGTGGACAGACCATCAATGTTAGAAGTTTTTTCAATGCTCAACCATGAAATAGAGTCAATAGGTACTCCTAGCAGGCCTGCTTTTTCATCGCAGACAGACAAAAATGTGGAGAACAAACCAACAACCGAGAAAGATTTCTTTTCCATCAATGAGGCAACAATGTCCCAAGTGATGCCCCGATGACAAGTCAGGCCCTGGTGGTAAATCATTGTTCTTTCATAGGGCTCTTGGTGTCCTCTAAGATGTTAAGATAACTTCTTATGCTCATTTTTCTTTTGGATCTTTTCTATTTTTTTGGGATTCGACGTGCTCTTGGTACCATGATAGATGTTTTAATGTGAATATACAAATCTAGGAAAAAGAAGAAATATAATTTTCATATCAGCCGATGC